ATACTTGACTTGGCTCAGCAATGGAAGCTGTGACTTGAGTTGACTCATGAAGATCAGCTGTGACTTGACTTGACTCATGAAGATCAGGGTTGATGTGACCTGACTCTGGAAGATCAGCTGTGACTTGACTTGACTCATGAAGATCAGCTGTGACTTGACTCATGATTGGCAGCCATGATATAACGGGGCGCTGTTGTGTCCGCCATTTTGTAAGCGTGCTCTAGTGTGGCCACCATTTTGTGAATGGGCTCCGCTGTCGCCGCCATCATGCGAGCTCGCTCTGGTGCAGCCGCCATTTCACGAGCGGGTTGCATCACCGGAGTAGCGATCAGTAAACTTGAATATCCTGGAGCTTGTGGTTGACTAAACTCAGCAGCCACCATCACAGGCACAGACGCGGTGTCACGTTCTTCCTCCACGACACCCACAGTAGACAAAGAGCCAACAGTCAATAAAGCATAATCCACAAACTGACGTAGTGACGAACGTGGACCCTCAAGTATAAGCCTAGATTTTAGCGGTTGATTAATGCCATTACAGAGAAAATCTATCAAAACACAGTCCGGTAAATCAGAGTGATACGCAATGTCCAGATACTCTTGACTGTAGTCCTCGAGTGAGCGTGTGCCCTGCTCCAGGGCTAACAACAGTCTTGCGGTGTCCATTAGTGATGCGCGGATGAGCTAAAACGTCACCCGAATCCGCAGCTTCAAATAAATTATCCACCCGCCAACCGCCCGCACCTGTATTTTTGTCTGATTTAGACAACCGCACCCGACCCGCACCCGATCATCACATTAGGGTTCGTATGGTCATAAAAAACCTGGAAAAGTCATTGAACAGCAATTTCCAGGCCTAGAAAGTTTTGTGTAAAAAAAAAACAAACAAAGTTTTTGAAAAGTCATGAAAATCTATTTCACAAGCCTCTGTATAATAGAGTTATGTTTAATCAGATCCTGAATTTCGTTGCGGGATTGCGCATACATCGCATTACTCATTCCCGCAGCTTTCGACTTTAAAATGAGGGAAATTACTGCAAAACCTTTATTCAATATAGCGTGTAGGTTAGATGAGTAAATAAATCCACACAAACCATCAGATGAAAACAGCGTAGGTGATTCAGCTGTAC